GGGCGCCCCGGGCGCGCGCCCGCCGCCCGCGAGGAGGGCGGACGACGCACGGCGGCGACGACGCACGGCGGACGACAGCCGACGGACGACGCACGGCGGACGACGACGACGACGACGACGACGACGACGACGACGACGACGACGACCACGACCACGACCACGACCACGACCACGACCACGACCACGATGACGACCATGACCACGACAACGACCACGACCACGACCACGACCACGACCACGACCACGACAGACGAACACGACGACGATGACGACTGACGGCGCACGGCGGACGACGACGCACGACGGTCGACGACGACGAGGAAGAGGCGGGCGTCCCGGGCGGCGCGACCGCCCCCCAGGCCCCTTCGCGTTTCAAAAAAATCGCAACGGGGGATTTTGCGACGTTCGGCCTACCGAGGGGGCCCTCGCCGGGCCCCGGGACCGTCATAGAAGGATTCGGAATGAAAAGCCGGTCCCGGAGAGGGGTCGAGACCCCTGCAGTGGGGGTCGACGTTGTGAACAAATCACGACGTCGGGGGTCTGGGGAGGAGGAAAAGGCGGGCGCTCCGGGCGCCGCGACCGCCCCGCCGCGGGGGGGGGGCCGTTCGGATAGGCGTAGGGGTGGAGGGGCATGGGGACGAGAGATCGGAGGAAGAGACAATACGATTCTTCCCTCACGTTCCTTTTCTTGGGGCCTCCTCGAAGGCCCTCGTCGCCACCGCCGGATTCGCCTCGGCATTCCGGTCGGAGCGCCCCCCCAAGAGAGGTCCTGGAAATAGCGGTATTGGTACCTTGTGGTTCCCAGAAAGGAAGGAGGTTCATATGGAGAAAGGGGGGGGAGCAGAAGGACCAGCGTAAACCCAAGGCGCGCCCACGATGTGGCAATCACCCTCCCCCTTCACAGGTCCCTACAAGCATTTATTTTGATTGCGGGACGTGCTCCATTGAAAGACAACGTCAGAATCCCCAATCGTACCGAAACACCCTTCTTGGGGCTTCAGCGTCGCGAATCAACGTTATTGCTGTTTCTTGGGGATCGTCCGTCGCTCAAGAACGCCATTTCCGGGACTTCAACACCGCGAATCAACGTGACTGTTGCGTCCTGGTAGTCCTAAATCGTGCCGGAACGCATTTCCTTGGATTTCAACCATGCGATTTGTGAAATTGTCGCACACAGTTAAGACGAATGTGCGCAGCGCGAATGCGAGAGCCACATTGTCAAAATGAGCCGCCCTCTATTAGACTTCTGCAGACTCTTACAAAGGATGTGCGTGGCGCGAATGCGAGAGCCACATGTTGACCCCCCCCAGTGGGGGCCCCCACCCTCCATCAGCGAAGCTGCTGCAAGTTTTAACGACGGCTGTGCGCGGCGGCGCTCGGGCGAGAGCCACAGCTCGAAAACGGCCCGCCCTCCATCCGCGAAGCTGTTGGGCATGTCTAGCTTCAGGACCATGACTGGTGAGAGGAAGTCTCAGGCGAAACGCCTGGCGCGCCCTGCCGACACGTGTGGGACTGCGACAGGAATGAGCCAATTGTGAAGAGAATTGACGGAGGAGGAGGAGGAGGAGGAGGAGGAGGAGGAGGAGGAGCACGAGGGGGAGGAGGAGGAGGAGGAGGAGGAGGAGGAGGAGGAGGAGGAGGGGAGGAGACGAGGAGGAAAGGGAGCAGGAGGAGGAGGAGGCGGGGAGAAGGAGGAGGAAGGAGGAAGGAGAAGGAGGAAGCGGAGGAAGGAGGAAGGAGGAAGGAGGAAGGACGGAAGAGGAGGGAGGAGGGCGGAGGGAGGAGGAGGAGGAGGAGGAGGAGGAGGAGGAGGAGGAGGAGGACGGAGGAGGAGGGGGAAGGGGGAGGAGGAGGAGGAGGAGGCGGGGAGGGAGGCGGAGGAGAGGAGGAGGAGGAGGGGGAGGAGGTAGGAGGAGGAGGAGGGAGGAAGGAGGAGGGAGGAGGAGGAGGTAAGGGGGAGGAGGAGGAGGAGGAGGCGGTCACCGTGCGGCGCGACCGGCCCGCCGCGGGGGGGGCCCAATCGCACAGGCGTGCGAGAGTGGTCTTCCTCGGGAGAAACCTTTGACGCGAGCGCACAGGGGTGCCCCAAGCGTTGGTTTGCGCGCTTAGATTTGGCGACCCCGCCGCGCACCACAGGTCAATCCTGGGGGCACTCATGCGCGTAGCCGACCAGGCATCCGCCGGGTGTTGCCAGAAGTGTCCCTGACCTAGCTCAGACATGCAACATCATGGAAACATCAGGACGAAGCTGTTCTAGATTTTCGGTTTCGGGGGTCTTACTATCCTTGGGGACCCTCAGAAACGATGCTCCCTCCGCTCCGACTTGAGACCTAGGCGGATCGCAGCACGAGGCCCGCCTCGGGCCATGCTGCTCAGGCCACCTCCTCGCCCCTTGTCGCCTCGAGGTCACCCATGAGGTAGCGATGGGGCCTGCGCTCCACCTCCTCGAAGCGGTAGACGTACCCATGCCGCATGAGGTGGATGCCCTTGAGTGGCCCTTGCTCCAGGCGGGCCACCAACCCTCCTGACTTGACGATGGGACGTTGGGCATCATCATCGCAGCGATGCCCCCTCTCGCTCGGACCTCATTCTTCACGTTGGCTTCGTCCAGTGCTTCAGTTTCGGATGGGCCATGCCAGGACAGAGCTGAGGATGGGTTGCCCTCTAGGGCCACCTTAACATCGCGCCCCGTTTTGCCACCGCCCGCGAAGCCCCTCAACGTCCACGCGATGACAGCAGTGCACGCCCATGCCTTGCGAAGGAACCATGACATAAAGCCAACGACGGAGCCCCGGATGGTGGCCATCCAGAGCGCCACGATTTACGCGGCCGCTCTTTGCAGCTTCGCCCAGTACTCGCCGAACAGGTAGTGGCCCACGGCGTCGGCCATCCCATCAGGAAGTAGATGAGCTGATGCAGCACAGCGCCCAGCGCGCGCCCGACCTTTTCGCCAACCCACTTCAGGGCTGCCTCGACCCATTCGTTAAACCGTGGCATGCTGAGCTGCACCCCCATGATAGTGCGGGGTGTCGAGCTTGGCCCCGCGTCCCGTCTGTCTCCGGCTGCCGACGCGTTGGGCGCGCTCGTGGGCTCGCCAGGGGGTGGCGGGGGCTGGCTGGCTTCCTGCGCCTCCTCTACTCCTGAGGTGGCGCCCTCCTCATGCTCCGGGTTCGCACCGGTGGCGCTGGCCTCCTCGCTGGGAGGTGGCGACACAGGTGCCGCCGCTGGGCTGGCGTCTGCGTAGTAGTAGCCCTGGTAGTAGTACCCGTACTCGTTAGACTGCTGGGGGCGCTCGTTCGGGTCGGCCCTGGCTGTAGGCGGATCCGTGGCCGAGGGTCCCAAGAGTGCGAGGGCCGCTGCCGCCGAGAGTGGCCCGGGCTCTGCTGTCGGCCCCTCGAGGGCCAGCGGCGTCGCGCCGCTCTCGCTTGAGCAGCTGGACTGGCCGTCTCTGCTGGGCCGCCCGACATGCCCTTCCTCTTTGCCCGAGTCGCTTTCGCCCAGGCCTGCCCAAGCGCGGCCGTCCTCAGGCCGCAAGACTGCGGCAGTCGCCGAGAAGCTGGCACGCAGCCCCGCGCCGAGCGACGCGTCGAGCCATGTCGGCACTGCCACATCGCTCGGGAAAAGATGTGCTACAAGAGGGGTGTACCATATGCTCTGGTCGGACGCACGCCTCCGAGGAGAGCGCGCAGCACTAGCACGTCCATATGCTGCCTATGAATGTGGCCAGCCTGGGCGCTCTTCCTGTTGACGGCCCCCCGAGGCCCGCCCGCGAGCCCCGGGGAGGATCAAGGACGGGCCTGGGGCGCAACGCTACCCCCCCCTCCCCTCGCCCCCGGGAAGGGGGTCTGGGACCTTTGCGGCCGCGGAAAAAAAGGCACCGTCGGATGTGTGGGTCTTCCTCCCCTCGCGCTTCCCCCTCCTGTTCCTGCTGCTGCTGCTGCTCCTCCTCCTCCTCCTCCGTCGAGCTCTTGACCGACGTGCAGGAAGCTCCCGACCTTGCCGCCCAGCCGCAAGGAGCTGGGGCCTGGGCAGAGGGTAGAAGGTAGTATGCAGACGGGACGGCAACCTGGAAGATAGGAGTCCACTTAATAATAAGCGTTCTTAGGATGAATCCGTCCGCCCAAGCCATACGAAAGCAAGACAGCAACGTGTCTCTACCGACTATCCATTTTCTCAGCATTAGGGAAGGGAGCAAGAACGGCATCGACCTTACCACCTCCCTCCAGGTCTCAGCATCCTCCTCCTCCTCCTCCTCCTCCTCCTCCTCCTCCTCCTCCTCCTCCTCCTCCTCCTCCTCCTCCTCCTCCCCTCGCGCGGCCAGCCGCCTCCCCTCGCGCGGCCGCGCTCGTCTTCTTTCCCTCCCTCTTGCACGCCGGACAGTTCGCCTTCAGGTTGCCTCGCGCTGATGCGGGCTGCTTTTGCTTCGCCGCTGACGAAGAAAGCGTGGGCTTTCTTCGCGGTGGGCAAAGCAACGATCTGGATGCAACCCCTGGGAGGTTCGAAATCCGGTTTGGTCCAGCTCGATGCCTGTTAATAATCTGGCTCAATCCCGCGCAAACCAGCTCAATCCTGCTGGGTCCGCGGCGTCATCCAGCGCAGCAGCCCCCCAGTGAGGCAGAGTCCTCCTTAGTCCTTCCGGCGAAGGCTGGGTCCGCGGCGTCATCCAGCGCAGCAGCCCCCCAGTGAGGCAGAATCCTCCTTAGTCCTTCCGACGAAGACCTCCCAGTAGTTGCCTCCTAACACACAAGACGCTGGCCGGCCAACGGGCGCCCCGCGAGAATTTGTTCATCTCCCGACGTGCCCACAGAGCAGGTCTGACGTGTGACGCGCCCATAGATCTCTCGTGCTTCTCGTCCTGCGCGCCTGCTGCAGTACCGGTTTTTCAGTCTGGATCGTTGTCTTCCAGTCCCGGCCGCAGCGCCCCCGTTGTTCCGAGCCTCCCGTGTCTGCGCAGGCGCCCGCGCGGGACCTTTGCTGGAGGGAGCTGCGCGACGGCCAGTGGGCGCTGTGCGTGCAGCAGCAGGCCGTGGAGCGCGACGGCAGCTCGCTGATGCAGGAGGCAAAGAGGCAGTCCGGCCACAACCCTGGGGGCTGCGGGCCTCACCCCCTTTCCGTGAGATCTGGGCGTCGCAGTGGACAGCGTGTCGCTGCAGAGGGTTCTTATAGCGGTGATGGAGAACCTCAGAGCTGCGGGACGGGGAAATGACCACAGCCACTGCTTCTTGTTTGCGCCGCCTTCCAGGTGGCCGAAAAAGAAGCAGTGGCTGTGGTCATTTCCCTGGCGCCAAGCTCCACGAAAATGACCACAACCACTGCTTTGTTTCTGCGGGCTGGAAGGCGGCAACAAACGAAAAGCAGTGGCTGTGGTCGTTTTCATGCCCCGTAGGAGCAGTCCCGCAGGGAGGACGGGGAACGCGACGACGCACGGTCCGGCAGCCTGTCCGTTTGCGATCTCTCACAGCTTCTTCGGGCTCCGTGCTCCCGCTTTCTAATGCCGGCTGCACGTTTTTTGGGTCTGGACGGCCACGAGCCCGTAGAACGCCCGCGCTGGTGATGTTTTGGGATCCGCCTCTCCATTACCAGCCTCGACCTTACCCCTATCCCTAAGATTGACTCGCCAAAAGGCGATGGTAATCTTTGGGGTTCGCGCTCAAAAAATAAGGGAATCCCTAAGATTGGCATCGTGATGAAGAGATGCCCAGCATAGGGGTAGGGTTATGTCCCAGGCTGGTAACTCCACCTATGCTGCCGTCAGGGTGGCTTGCTGGGGCAAGCATTCCACGACGGGCGACTTTGCGTTGCTTCGGGCCCCAGGACTTTCACGGACCAATCTGGTTTGAAAAAAACTACACCCATCGGACAGTTTAAGAAAACGCGTCAATTTTCATGGATTCCACATATCGTTGAAGAAAATCAAGAATTTGGTCTGGGCCCTGGGCGTTTTCATTGAGCTTTATCTATCGCGGAACTGTCGCATCTCTGGACCTGGACTACTATTCAAGAACACGATTGTAGCAAACATTTTTTTCTAGCGTAGCTCTCCGTTGACTCGAAGCAGGGGTGTATTAGAAACATGTCGTCCAGGGCTCCGGTCGAGTTTTTCGTTTACGAACGTCGGATCTCAGGGGCAGGGGGAGCTGCGGTCCTTTCCCCCTTGGCGGGCCCATCGGCTTCGGCCAAACCCTTTCGAGAGATTGTTGATACAACGGGTTCCCAGAGGTTCCGACCCATTCCCAGGGGCCTCAGAGGTCGATCGATCGTCGATCGATCGATCAATCGGTCGATCGATCGTCGATCGATCGTCGATTCCTGGGCCCAAGAGGTCCCGACCCATTACCAGAGGTCGTCGATCGTCGATGCGCGGCCCCAGAGGTCCCGACCCACTCTCCGGGGGCGGTTTCTCGCACCGGACCCCTGCCTGATTCCACGGGGGAAGGAGGCCCGCCGTCGGTCTTGCGATGCCCTGCTGACGGGACGAAGACATGTGACAAGGAGCAGTTCTGCGAGTGTCACGTCCAGCCGTGTCGGCGAGGAGGGCCCTGCCTCCCCCGTGTCCGCGGACCGGAGCCGTTGTTGGGCCCCCATCGGACCCCCCCAGCCGGCTCTAGCTCGAGAGATCGCCCCCAGAGATCCGACGGTCCAACAAACATCGACCCGTTTTTGTTTCTCTTGTTTGTGCAGCTTTCGGCCTCCAGGGGCTCTCGCTGGGCTTCGGGAGCGTCAAGAAGCAACCAGGACGAAAAACTCCCGGGGAATGGGTCCAGACCTCGGGGGCCCATGCATCGAAGAAAGCTGGAGCGGCCAGATGGCTGGGTCGGCACGATGGGCCCCCCTGGGGGTGGTGAGGAGCGCAGCTCCCCCAGCTCGTCGTGGTCGTCGCCCGTTGTCGTCGTCGTCGTCGTCGTCGTCGTCGTCGTCGTCGTCGTCGTCGTCGTCGTGGCCGGTCGGAGAGGATCGGGCAGCTGCTGGAGGGCCCAGTGGAATACCGAGACCACGACGCAGAGGCGCCGGAGGCAGAGCGGCTGCGCGCGTGCGGGGCCGCCGGTCGGACTGCGGGCGACGGGAACGCCCAGCCTGCCCAGTCGGCGGGCGAGGTGCCCCAATGGAGGGTGACGATTAATAGATGACGGGGGGTCGTGTTCACGCGGCGGCGCTCGGGATGACCATCAGAAAAAAATCCGGCCGCGGGCTGGAAAGCTACCGTTTCTCATCGTTCTCCTCCAGTCAGAAGATTGTGCAGAAATAGCAGAAGACTACTTGTTTAAGCGTTCTCTCCCGTTTGTTTTTGTGAATCGTCATCCGGCATTACTGCCGAGTGTCGGGGCCCAGCTCCCCGACGGTGTTCGTGGTTTGTCTCACCAGCCTCGCACGTATCCCTATCCCTAAGATTGACACGCCAAAAGGCGATGACAGTCTTAGGGATCCGCCCTGAAAACTCAGGGGATCCCTAAGATTGGCACTGTTGAGGCGATGCCCAGCTTAGGGATAGGGATGTTCCAGGTTGGTACTCCAGATTTCGTAATAAAAAGGAGGGGGTCTGGACCCTCCCAGACGAGAAGTTTTAGACCCCCCCCCCGTGGGAGAACCCGCCAAAACATCGTCCCCAGACCCCCCCAGGCCCTCCAAGATGGCCTGGCAGAGACCCCCCCCCGAAATGAGACCCCCCTCCCTTTATTACGAAATCTGGAGTAATTGTCGAGCCGTGCGTGCCTCCCAGGTGTCGGCCGCTGGGGCTGCCCCGGGGAGCGGTGTCGGGGCCCCCCTGGGGCCGCCGCGCGTCGAAGGCCTAAGGATCGTAGGTGTTGGAGCGCTCCAGGGAGGGCCTCGCCCTCGAGGATGGAATCAGGGGGAGAAGAAACACACAGACACCATGAATCGTCGATTCCCCAGAAAATATAGGAAAATATTGGCAGTGGTGGGGAAGACAAAAACCCAGAAAATATGGGAAAATATGGGGAATCTTTTTATTTGTGTGTATTTGTTTGTGTGTCCCAGGGCCCCTTCAAAGAAACACACAGACACAATGAATCGTCGATTCCCCAGAAAACATGGCAAAATATGGGCAGTGGGGGGAAGACAGAAACCCAGGAAATATAGGAATCATGTGGGGCGGAAGGGCGGCGGAAGGCGGCGGAGGCGGGGTGCGCGAGGCGGGGGTCGACGCGCCTCCTGCGCTCCAGGGTGCCCTGGTCCCTTTCTGTTGGCTTCGGTCCTGTCTCGTGCATGTCAGGGGCTCCGATCGAACCAGCTTCGATTGCGCCGATGCTCACTTTGTTTAGGCTTCGGCAGACAGTGTTACTAGCCCAGCACTAGTCGTTGTCGTTGACGTTGTCGTCGTCGTCGTTGTCGCTGTCGTCATCGGCGTCGCTGTCGTTGCCAAGTGCCATTTGGTACCCACCGTCACGGTCTTAAGAGATTTTGCAAACCATGTTGCGGGTGGGTGGGTGGGATGTTTGCGCGAGCAGTGGAGGTGGTCAGGCGCGGTGCAGGGTAGTCAATTCCACAACATAGGTTGCACCACTGAATTGCACAGCGTATATTGCACAACGTAGATTGAACAGCATATGTCGTGCGACTTATTTTCTCCAGTCTGAAAGGAAGTTCGGTGGATGCACCACCACCACCACTCGGGGTTTTCGATCCCCCTGTGATAGTACGGTTTACAGATGATTCTGCCCCATGGCTCATTTTGAATCTAAACCATCCCAGCCCGGCCGATACCCCCCCTTCGCCTCCGTCAAATGAGATTATGCGCGCACCGTCTCGTACCACCAGTCGTCAGTTCCCAAGAGCCCCTGAAAGCACATGCGACAAAGTCCACCCTCGCGTCGTGGCGTGCGCATGCCGCATGCGAATCCCGTAGGGATTGCAAGATGTTCTCGAAACGATTCTCTTTAACAACGAAGGACTGCGCATCGTGTTTTGCGCTGAAAAGTATGATCGTGCGCTATTGCGAACTCTACGGGCACCATCGGCTTTTTCAGCATGTTCATCAAATTTGACCAAGCGGGCCGTCCGCACGCACATGCCGGGTCCATTCGAACGCCTTTTGCTCGTTTGTTGGGGGTGCACGTTCCTTGTCAGATAACACCATACGGGCCACTCGCGCCCGTCAGCCGCGCGGGCATGTCGAAATCATTATCATTCCAAACTTTCAGTACCGACGCGTAGGCACCATCGTCGTCATCAGCGGTGATCAGCATCGGCGCCGTCATTGGCTTCGCCGTCGTCGTCGTCGTCGTCGTCGTCGTCGTCACGTGCTTCGTTACTACCATCATCATCAAGTTTGCGTTTCCGACGTCGCCACGATATCGCGCCCGTCTGGGCCACCGCCTCTCACTGATGTGCCCGTGCGCCAGCGCTGCCTGCGAGACGCGCTTGGAAGTCCCCAGCTGTCAGCGCCACCGCGGCCGCGTCGGTCGCGCCAGACTAGCTGGCCGCTCTGCGCGCGAGGCTGCGCGCGCTAACGCGGCCGCAGCGATTCGCCAGCCAGCGCCAACCAGTCGTCGCAATCGCCGTTGCATGGGTTTTGCAAACCATGTTGCCCGTAGGTGGATTGGATGTTTGCGCGGGCAAGGGGGTTGACAACTTCAAGTTTGGCGGTGTGAATTCCACCACGTAGACTGCCCCACGCGTTTTGCACAACATAGGTTGCACAATATATGTTGTACCGCGTAGTTTGCACCATGTAGTTGTGCCCATATAGGTTACACGACGCGTAGTGCTGAACATGTAGTTTGTGGCGCGCGCTGACTAACATGTTCCAAAATGGGTCTCTGTCCATCCCCCGAGGTCAGCACACGAACCTCTTCATGTGGAGCACCTGTCCGGACGGGGTCATCGCCGCTGGGTTCGCAGGCAGGAAGAGGGACAGGTTGGAGGTGCGCTGAGAGGGATGTTTCGCCACGGGCGGGGTCAGGGACGCGAGCCCAGCTTGACGCCAATACGTCCTTTTTCCCGGGGCCGTTTAGAATGATTTCCCTCCGCTGCAGCTCGTTCCACTCGCAGCGGCCGCGTTCCGTCTTGCGTCACACGCGGCGGTGCTGTTTCCCCTCGTAGACGGCACGTGGCAGGAGCGTGCACGAACGAAGCTGCAGCGACCTGTAGATCGGCTGGGTGGCTTCCAGACCCCACCTCTGCCCCTGCCCCATTGTTAACTGCCCCCCCGAACAGGGAGCGGGTCGCCTGCGTTGCCGCCGCGCTGGCGCACGCAGTGGCCGACCCAAGGTTCGCCGGCGGCCTCTGCAGAAGCTTCCCCGACGTCGGGGCGGTCCTGCAGCGGGCGCGCGACTCGCGGCCTTCCGCGCTGGCGGCCACGGCGCCGCCACGGAGCGACGGCAATCGGCGCTGGTCGCGCTCGCGGTCGCGGAGGTGCGGGGTGCCCCTGCGGATCTCGCCAGCCTTGCAGCCCGCGCCGCCATCACCGGCAGACGCAGGTCCTGGCGCGCGGCCGCGGCGCGGTGGCAGCGGGGGTTCGGAGACGTGCTCACGCTCACGTTCGCCCCTGCCGCGCCAGCGCGCCCCAGAGCGCGCGCGGCCATCACTGGGGGGCGCAGGTCCTGCCGCGCGGCCGCGGCGCGGTGGCAGCGGAGGCTCGGAGACGGGCTCGGTCTCACGATCGCGGAGCCGCGAGCCGCTTCTGCGGCTCCAGCCCGCTCCGGAGTCCGCGCCGCCATCACCGAGGGCCGCAGGTCCTGCCGCGCGGCCGCGGCGCAGTGGCAGCGGTGGCTCGGAGGCGGGCTCGCGCTCACCGTCGCCCCTGCGGCTTCGTCAAGCCACAGAGCCCGCGTCGCGATCACCAGCGCGGTGGGAGCCCTCGCCGCCATCGCCAGCGCGGTGGCAGCTGCGGCGCGGTGGCAGCGGCACCGATTTCCGACGATCTGCTTTGAGGAAGCCTCGTCTGTTTTTCCTTCGATTCTGGCCATTGGGGCCAGGAATGGGCCCCGAGGCACTGAGAAACGGACCCGGAGCAACAAACTGCCCCTGGGGCCTCTTCAAGAGTCGCGACGGCATGTTTTTCGCCACGTTTGAGTCCCAGGGGCCCGCACCGGGCCCCGGGGCCGTCGGAAACATACTCGGAGCGAAGAGCCGGTCCCGTGGAAGTGCTCCAGGGCTCCTGCCCGTGGTCCGCGTTGTGAGCAAAGTGGGCGTCGGCGGTCCGCCCCGAAGGGTGGCCCCTCCTTCGGGGCATCGCCTTCGAACCCTCCATGGCCTGCATGGCCCCCCCTTCGAGCCCATCCCTCGGGGCCCCGCAATCGAATGCTCGCCCTCGGCCTGCACGGCCCATCCTGGATGGGCCATGCAGGCCGAGGGCGAGGATCAATCGATCCAGAGCGTCCGGGGGCGTTCTTGCAGCGTTCCCGAACCCCTCGCAGCGGCCGAGGCGCCCGATACGTCCTGCAGCCTCGCCAGACCTGAGAGATCCCCACAGCGTTTCCGATCCTAGCCTCATCCGAGCTTGTCTCCATCCTGCCTTCTGGGGTCCTGGGGAGGAAGGCGCCCCGGCTGAATTTGCACGGCTCAGGCTCTCATTCCTTTTTAGGACCGCCGCCCAGGGCGCCGATGTCTTGATCTGTTCCATAACTACGGGGTCCCCGAAGTCTCGACCCACTCCTGGGGGCCCGCGCTTCATCCTGCATCGTTTTGTGGACTGTCCAGGGGCCCAGCGAGGGCCCCCTGGAGGCCGAACGGGGCGGAAATCCTTCGCCTCTTGATTCTGCCCCTACGTCGGAGATCTCGGGGCCTCCTCCCCGTCAGGGCTCCCATGTCTCAGGGCCCCATCCCTGAGATCCGACGTTGCAAAACATTGCAACATCGCAAAAAGTCACGCCCCGAGCCCCGGACCCCATCTTCCTGTGTAGTTCGGTCGAGCCGGATCGAGATGTGAGGGTCCCGGGGCCCGAAATTGAGCGAAAATGCCCGTCGTGGAAAAATGGCAACGCCAGGATCTCAGGGATCTTCGCAGCGCCGAGGTGGCAGCTGGCACCGCCGCTCGCGGTGGGCGTCGGCGTCTCGGTCGCGGCCGCGGGCGGCGGCGGCGCTCGCGGACGCAGAGAGTCAAGCAGTGGCGAAGCGTCCTGGCTTGTCTGGAGGCCCACTGAATCATGTTCTTCTGATAACCTTTTGTGATCTGCGCGACATGTTTTTAGAACATGTCTGGCCGAGACAGACTTGCTTGAACACGTCGGGTTGAGATGTTCTGAGAGCGCTGTTTTTGTTATTCGAACATTCTTGTGTTCAGAGGACATGCGGGTAGGCCCCCAGGAATGCTGGGACGCTCGGTCCCTGCTCAACGCCGCCGCCCGCGGTCGCAGAGAGGGGCCGCCTCGCCGGCCGGGGGCGCTCGCCAGGAAAGAAACAAAGGGCCGCGCCTCCGGCGCGGCTCTCGTCGGAGGGCGGCAGCCACATGCACCAGCCTCGAGCCTGGCAAGGCCGATCCCCGGCCCACGGTCGGAGCACCCAGAGATCCTCCTCCTCCTCCTCCTCCTCCTCCTCCTCCTCCTCCTCCTCCTCCTCCTCCTCCTCCTCCTCCTCCTCCTCCTCCTCCTCCTCCGCCCCTCCTCCTCCTGCCCCCCCTCCTCCCCCTCGTCGTCGTCGTCTTCCTCATCCTCCTGCTC